TAACTTAATTTCCTTTAAACAAATGCTTATCTCTTATCATCTTTTATGCATATTTGAAGCACGAGCCCAAGTCTCTTGTATTTACTAACCTAATGACTGTTCTATTTTTATCATATACCACACCTGATTTATGCGCACCAGTCATGAAGCTCATATCTAATCGAAAGCAATTTGAATTATTCTTCAAACTTTTGACGCAATCAAGCCAGTTGCCCGTGCGCTCTATTTGCTATTGGCGATAAAAGTTTCCCGGGCTTTTGTAGATCCCCAAATATTATTTGTGTGTACAAAAAAATTCTCTCTCTATGTATCTCTCTCTATATTACCTATATATAATATTTCGATGTTGTACTTCATTGCAATCTTATCTGTGATGGTCTAACCAATTAATCATCGCAATTCATTTGTTTATTTCCAGAGTTTTCCTAAGAACATAATTCAATGCCACATTAATCACATGAAAATTTTTGAATATGTAGGCTAAAAATTTATTGATTTTTTTTTTTTTTTTTTTGTAATACATTTATTACCCGAAACATAACTACTTTAACTGCGATGTGTTTGCGTTGTGTTCTGAACACATCGCATCTGCTAGCGCGAAGTTTCTGTTTACTTTTTCTGGGGTGAGCTGAAYGCCGATTARAATATATTAATTATAATCTAATGTCTACTTATATTCRCAGCATTKTTGAGCTGATARTTGTGCTGGCTATCAGTCGGGTGGTCTGGATATTRGTAGTCCTCTGTACTACTGGGAGCTTGGCCATATTTGGTTTGACGAAGTTCCTGCGCATGGCCTAYAATCCACCTGAAGTGCAACAAGGCGACAACATTGCTGGGGCCAATCTAACGGCYCTCAATTATACMGTTGCCACATAGCTTTGAGCACACTCACAACTCCACGATTTCTGGAATAGCGAGTTCTATCACATTGGAAAGCTTTTTTCCGTTAGGCTGGGTCACTGATTAACCATTATCGTCTTATCTGTGTGCGTGTGTGTTTCTATTGTGCCCCGATATGATTAAAGCTTTTCACGCCTAACTGCTACCACTTGACTTGTCGACATCGTGCGTTTCAGTTGTTATTTTGTTTTGGCCCTCGACGGATCGTTAAAATCGGTGTATATATAAATATATACTATATACAGAGAA